AAAATTACTGAAATTGCATCAATTAAAATTTGTTTATATTTTTTTAAATTACACATAGGATAAGCTATCAAAAGATATTTTTTACTAAACTTTTACTTTACATTATTAACCAATTATGGACAACAAAAACCGTATATACTCTATTATTTATTCTCCCATTTCTAGACTAGTTCACAGTTCTTCCATATAATTAGTATCGTGTGTCATGCAGGTGCCGTTTGTTGTTGTTAAGGTTGTACATATGGTGTAGAGTTACAGACGAAATATGGCTTAAAATCATGATTTGAGTCGTCTAAGGGGGCGTAGTAAAACTGTATAAGGCGATAAGTTGTATAGTTGTATAGTTTCACGGCGTTAAATACTGGCGGTACGTTACGAAGTTTACAAGGAGAAACCGTACACTTGTCCGGTCGACATGTAAATGGGAAGTTGCGATATATGCGGTCTTGTATTAATTAGATTAAAATTATAGATTGGACGCGATGGATTTTCCAGTTTATAACAGCAGCTGTATAAAGATCTATAAAGTCATTGGGAACGCACGACTTTTAGAGGATTCATACCAAAGCTTGACATCGCTTGGTCAAGAAACCCTTTGGTTTTTACAGAAAATAATTTTCGAACTTCTTTGTATCTTGTGTGTAAATAGATCGCTCTCATGGGAATTGAAAAAGTGGTACGATTGTAACTATCTAACCCTCTTTCATGATTTCGAATTTGAAATCTGGCACCGAATACACGTGCATGGCCATCAAATTGATCATCATCGCATGGAGTCAAGGTCACAGTGAAATGACCATCACTATGTCCAAACATTTGTTCTGCTTCGTGTCAATAGGAGACAATTGCGACAAGAATCGTCAATGAATCGAACATACTGTGATAAGGGCGTATCGATTAAGAAGTTATGTGCACATGTACATATAGCTATTACAACAATTTATAGTAATCCCTGTTCAGCATTTTCTACTTGCCTGTCGCGAGTTACACTGATTATTACTCTGCATGACATTTATACCAGTTACCGATTATTATACGAATCAAGTGCAAACAAATTGTTGGTTTTTATTGTTATTATTAATGTCGTTGTTACTATATTTCTTATTGCCATATCTGTTAAGAGGTTTCAAGAAATTCAGTATTAAGCTTTTCAGCTTATTATTTAGAACTGGGGAGAGGGGTGTCTACGCTGTCAAAGAGAGTTTTATTCTATTTAGATATTTGTTTAGTTTTTTTTAAAATGTAGTAATGTAGATTTCATAATAAAGTCTCAAGTTTTCAATTGCTAAAAATCGGAGCAGGTTAGTCGACCCCGTTATATTAAATTTTAATGCAAAATAAATAGAATGAGGTGATATCTGCAAGCGAGTTTTTGTTCTGTTACTAAATGTGGAAATCATAATGTGGTTAAGAATATGTAGTCTCTCAATTGCAATTATGGAAAAGACGCTATAAAACTTAATGTTCATTTTATTTTGAGTGCAGTAAAGAGGATGCAATTGCACTTGGAATATAGTCGAAATTATTGCACAATCTCGAAATATGTAATCAAGCGTTGGAACCCATGAAATGATTCCTTGTAATTCGTGTTTGCAGAACTAAGAGTGTATATTTTGAGGAAATTCAGGATGTAAAACCGTATGTTTTTTTTGACATTCTTATAACCAGTTAAAGAAAACAGTTTATCCCTTGTCACTAGCGAGTTATATATAAGGACTATGTCTTACGTCTATAACTATCCTAAATCCGTAACACTGTATCAATGTAGTTAACACGGACTTTGCCAAAACAGCTGGTATGTGTCAGTCCACGAAACATCTCCTTTAGTTCATTCAGGAATAAATTTAATCAACCAAAAACGTAAATCATATACTACGAGTGTGTACATTATTTGTTTACAAAGTAGTTCCTAATACACCATTGGGCAGAGGTGAGCTACTCGACGTTAATTATTTTTTAATTCTCATCCGCACCATATTTTATTGTTGTTCGGAGATTTCGGTTATTTTCTGTTTCCGCCTGCAGGAACTTGATCATGCTAATTATTTTATCATCTTTAATGTCGGAATGCACTTTACTAATAGTGTTAAGACTGCTTTGTGCTACTGCAAACAGCTCTAAATAGACACGTATTCGTGAAAAAAAAATATCCTGAAATTAATTTGCCTGCACCATCAGAGCCTGGCTTACTATCGATATAACCCAGACAATAATTCCCATTGGCACACCTAAGATTGTTGCTGTGGTTTTGACTCCAGTCACAGCAAGACCAACATTTGCTGCTGCATGAAGACCAAAAAACAGCATCTATGACCAAGCAAGCATTTGCACGTTTGTACTTTACAACATTTTGGTGATTTCATTTGTGTTTTGCATCGTGTAACTGTTTATCTCGTTAACAATAAGGCTCTGAAACAATCCGGATTATTTTTGCAATTGGTTATGCAGTAACGTTTTCAGAGTTTGTGTAATACTTGTTAGCTGAATTCGAGTTAGTATTTTACACCACGGTGATTTCAATAGTTAATTTTGATATGTCTCATAACAAGTTTTGTCCGATTATATATGAGGATCGGATAATAGAGATTTATAGATACGTATTAGCTGGATAGTCAACAATAATAAAATTCTCCAGACTGGATTTAATTTTCCAATATTGCCACTAACCACATCCACCAGAAAAAAACAGCATAATATTAATAATTACGATACTTACTAGGCCACCTTTCAAATTCCGTTATAGCATTATGAAAGTAATTCACGTGAATGAAAATAATTAGAACATTTATTATAATATTCTTCAGGCGAAGTTACTATTTACTGTTGTCTGTGCAATCTTTGCACAGATGCTCTGTTTTACTGCAGCCATGTCTACAACAATGTAATTTTTGATAAACCCAACCGACACACGAATTTCTCTGATTTTACAATTTCAGTGATCATGGCCAGGAAGTTTGTTACAGGTCTTTAAACATGTTAACAATATCTTGAAGGTAAGAATTAGACGTTTGCAGTCAACCAGTGTAATCTTGAAAAAAAAGAAAACCACAGGCTCGTCATGGTCAAATTCAACTGGAACACTACTAGTCATAAAAGACATATTTGTTTAGGAGTTGAATCTGTTTCGATCCACACTAGCACCATATGGTCGAGCTGAATATTGTCCGTAAATGTTAATAATATTTATATAACTTTAAATGTGTTACGTGACAAGGGCTCGTACTCAGTAAAAAAGAAAAGACTGAAAGCCAAAATGCTTTGCATATTTTAACAAAACAAGTTATTTCCATAGACAACAATGTACACATTGGTAAAGAGCACTTACAGTTTGTGAATATAATCCAAAATTTGATCGTAACTTGAAAGCTCAAGTCCTATCACTAAATATTCCTATTAGAATCCAGGTTCGAGTCCCGAAAACGTACACATATGGACGGCGATGACTTCAGTTGTAGTCCAATGTAAGAATAACAATAATTTCTCACTTGATTAAGTCTATATTTCCGAATAATTCCAGAATACATTTCCATGAATATCTTTCAGAATGTTGTTATAAAACGTCAACTTGCTGAGTTTCCACAAATTGTTAAATTCAGAATTTAGACGAAGAACAAACAATCTGGCAACAAATAAAAGGTAATGCACCTTGTTTACTTCAAGGTGTTAGAATAACCCTACCCGAAAAATATTAGGAATAAGATTGGTCATGTGGTCTCTTACCGCACTAACGTTTACACGTAGGCCACGTTGTTCTCACTTAAGAACCAATCATAGAAATCGTTGTTACACACGGTGATCATGCAAAGAAAGTATGCTCCTGATACGGACGAATCATTTCAACTTTTTGTTGACATTATTGGCAGACCAAGACCAACTAAAATGTAATTCTCACGTAATAATCTTCGTCTTAAATAAGAAAAACTTTGTTAAGAGAAAATATCTCATTACTAAAAAAGAGAATCCTGAATCGGACGAAAATATTCATTGCAATAAAGTACAATGAAACAAAAATGAATTCAAAATAATGTTAAAACTCACAAGCAATTTAGTCACATATTCATAGTGTACTTTAATGAGAAATGAATAAGTGCTTGAAGTTTTAACGAAATATCAAGAAACGAAACTCTTGTCTTAGTAATATCACTGTTAAATTAAACAAGTTCATGCGTCATCGCGCAAAACGTTTTTCTGTTTATAACATCAGCAGTGATCAGTCGCTGACAGATTGGTGTGATTTTAGTAATTATCCCTGGTGCGTTCTTGTACGTACAATGAGATCACCCGAGTGTTTCCAATCAATTAACTAGATCGTTAGGACAACATCATGAGAAAGGCCTTATTGTTTTAATGTTTCTTTGTATTTAGACTCTACAGTTTGAGATTCGTCTGTGAGAGCATATTTGGTTGGTTTGCTTTCTGACCAGAAAAATTTTTCTTGCTTTGCAGGTACGTCTAATTTTTCATTTTTCTATATAGATTTGTGTTTTGCCGTCCCTAAAACGTTTTAGAAAGTATCTACAAATTGTCGTGTGTTTTTGTCGCCAGTGATACGACACAGGTTAAGGAGCTTTTCAAACTCAGGCCACATAAGATATTTGCCTCTTAATTCGTTCTGCCATGTCCACTCCTAGCACACACACACACACACACACATACAAACACACGCACACACACAGACACACACAAACGAGTTCTTTAGACCGCAAATACAATTGCTTTTAGTTGAAAGATTATTTTCCAACTTATACTCGGTTAGCTTTGTGTGTGTGTGTGTTTGTGATTCGGCTTTTTAACGTAGTTTAGAGATCGCTTCAGTCATATCTGTATGATTCCTGCAGTGTTGCAGTTGATAGTGATTTCTAGTACTGGGGCATTATGTAGCAGTATGTCCCACCTAGTAGCATTATCCTGACACCATGATGACCAGTCCTGACACTAACCTCTTTATGCTGAGCGTCTAGTAAGGTAGCTGTTAGCAATAGGTTTATAAATCATTGGTATGACTCGGCCGGGTCTCCAACCCATTTCCACCCGCATCTGAGGAGGATGCCCTAACCACTAGGCCACCTGGGTTGTTTTTCATTAGGTCTTAACGAAGCTGACCTTATAGAATCGTAAGAAATATCACTCCGAGCTGGGTATTTAAATGTTTATCTTTTGGTTCTTTTAACTCTGATTTGACTTAAATGTTTTCTTTGATTTCGTCCACTTCCGCGTCTTTGATAATTTGGTGCATGTAGATATTTTACGAACATGTCACGTATTTATTTTGCTCGCAATAACGCTGTTGTTGCCTTTCTAGTGTCATCCATTGTTGACTTAATCAACGGTGAACAAGTTTGTTCAAAACCTACGGTGAGGTGAGGTACTTTTTCGACCTGCAATAACATCAATGGCAGACATTTTATATGATTGATTTTGAAAAAAATTAACCCCAAATATGTTGATAGATGGCGTTGTGATTAACACTGCCTTAGTGAATCCATTTGACATTTCAGCCCAATACCATGGCAGACAAACACATTTGTCATCGGAGAAAATCTATCGTTTGGTATCAAGCGCAGACCAAATGTCTTTGGGAAGCTCCATGATCTTTCTATAGTCAGAGACAGCCTTCGAAGTTTGTCTTGTTCATGACCATGGAAAGGTCGACTCGAATATAAGTTTGTGCAGATCCTCCAAGTGTATCCTAACACAGATTTTTTCACGAGTTTGTTAGGTCCTTTTCAAATTGACTGGTGACCTTAATGTTTAGATCCGCATTAATCTGGATATACTGGACCATGCAAACGTGCTGCCGAAAGTCAAGCACTTTATGGATTTTGGTTACACTCATACCCAATTTTAGATATAAATGGAGGTTTCGCACGTGCAGTAAGCAATTGATTTTCGTTTTATGATTTGGTATTATTTTGTTGTGTGTGAATTAGATATCAAACGTAGCTTTAACAGTTTCTCATGCATATAGCTACGATGTCCGCAGTGTGGCAGTTTATAGTGATGTTCAGCACTGTGGCATCATGCCACAGACACGATGTCCCACACTGTCAAATTATCTTGACACCAGTCTTACCAGTCCTAACACAAACCTCTTAATGCTGAGCGCCAAGCAAGGCAGCTGTTAGTGTCATTTTTACAAGTCTTTGGTATGACTCAGCAGTGGATCGAAACCACTTCCTCCCGTATCCGATGCAAACGTTCTAAACACTAGGCCACCGGAGCAGTCCAGATTGGTGCATTCAGTTCATTTGGGTCCGGATCTGTCAACGATCAAGGAAGGATACGGAGATGATCAACTAAATATCATTTACATCACCTTTATAAAACAGGCTAATCGTTGTGCATATCATATTCATGGTTTTACAGATCATTAAAAGAGGCATTCTGAGTCGATGTTGATGTTATGATCATTTATGTGCACGTCAATATATGCACCATCAATCCATAGAGACCCACTAATAGACAACGGCTGCGTCATTGCCCAGCCATAAATATATTTGAATGGGAATATATCAAGAAGCAGAAGATAGGATAGCGGGGTCATCCATCCGTGTTTCGAAATGTTAGTTTTTCTTTCACCTTTTTGTATTTATATATTGTGCAGACGTGCAGACTATTTCAGTTGTATTTTGCACCAAACATCCGATTGTGGTTTAGTTACCTGAGGTTCACTATTGTCCAGTCTTTGATAAAGTCTCACTGTAAGAATAGATCTCAATTATGTGATGCATGTCAGGTTTTTTCTCAAGCGATGAACAGATTATCATTAAGAACTGAATAATGAAACACCCAAGGAAATCCAGGATCACTACTAAATTGCAATCATGCAAATGAAATTGATCAGAACCACATTCTTCGTGATGCCGCCCAATTTCGTTTTTATTTCCTCCTTTCCCGAAATAAAAGCTTGGGTCAAAATGATTATGTCGATCCCTTCTTCGACATAAGCGTAAACTAAAGACAGAAGTCATAAGTGAAAACAGAAATATAGAAAAAAGCGACATCTATGCAAGCGCCACCCTCTTTCTCTACTCCTGTGGCTCGGCGGACACGCCAAGCAGCTCCAAACCCCACGAAATGGAGAGCATCATTAGTGAAAAGTGTATGAGTTATGGAAGACAGCCATTATGGAGAGCCTTTTACTATGCATTTGATATGACCAAGCGCATACTAAGGGAAAAGTGCAAAAATTATATCGTGCTGCTAAGGCTAATAACAACAGTGTATATTTAACCAATGTGTTGCGATGGTTAAATGAACAAGGTAGTACGCCTTACACAAACCTGTTATACAAAACTTTTCCAGATTTTAAACAAAAGTGGAGGACATCGATCACCACTTGCAAACCCATTCGGCATGTGTCTCTTATATACCAAAGTAAATTCACAAATATTTGTGTGTGTGTGTGTGTGTGTGTGTGTGTGTGTGTGTGTGGGTGTGACATCAACGTCTTTTCCAATTCACTTAAGTTGTATATCTGATTTCTAAGACGAGCTGCCAGGTATTACAAGCGTTTAATCAAACATGCAAAAGAGAATTGAAACAGAGAGAGACATCAATTTTTTCCACTACCAATAACCATGAAACGAAAGTCAATGTCCTGATATGTTTTCAATGCACTTTTATATAACGCATGTGAATATATTATACACATCAACATACGCTGAAGTACATTGACGTGTTATAGAGATTGGTCAAAGTTGTCGATCTTCATTAGGAAGTAGCTTTGATAGAATTATGCAGCCCACGCAAGTGCTGAAGTTAGTGGAAATCGAACGAAATTTACTGCCGAAATCCTCAACGAAACTAAGTGCTAGAGTAAAGGACACAAATGACTTTCTCTTCTTCGAATCCCAAAGGCCAGCTTCATAGAATCGTCAAATGAACATATATTTATGAAAATCACTGCAGTCTATTGTTTTAGCACTCAGCATCGGGTCGAATCGATTGCCACTAATTTCATCTATCAGTTTGGTAAAGCCCTTGACACAAATAAACTTCTTACAGGTCGAGTAGCAAATGTAGTCTGGTCGTTTAAAAATGAAACCACAATGTTGTTTATTAACTTATCTACCAGTTTGTGTGATATTCTGGCTGAAACACCAGAATAGCATGAGTCAAAAGAAAACAACAAGAACGAGCATTTTTATGTGTGTTTTCGTTACCTTGTTGAATTTAACTTGGAATAAATTTGATCTTCATGTACTCTGACACAAGAAGGCCATTAATGTTTTAAGCCCTGTTAAATATCTGGTTTGGAGATTCTGGAAAACCAGTCAACCCAGATAACAACAATTTGCAGGTTTAAATCACGGTACCGGGGTGTCGTAAGGTGCATAGCTCTTTCGGACCTGACGATTAACTAGGTGAAACGTTTTACACACCATAAATATGCCCGCCATCTGTGTAGAAACTAAGCAACCTGCAATGCAGGCACTAATAAGTCCCGCGTGTCTAAATGGGCAATACACACAAGTGATTTGCACTGAATCAGGCTCAACCTCATTCAGAAGCCTGACGAAAGCAGAACACAAAACTCTTGAAAATAATGCAAGACATAGCAGAGGATTTATTCCGTGAAGAAATTAAGAATGCAGACAGATAGAACACATTGCAAATTAATGCGTAAACAATTTCAGAGACTACGATAAATGCGTCTTGAAATTTACTGAAACTAAATGATTTGATAGTAGAAAGATAGTTTGTGATATACTGAAAGATAAATTATTTCTGTTACATAAGGACAGATTTTCAGATTTGCCTGTTATCGTCCAGTAGATACACGAATACAAAATATCGACATCGATATACCACGAACTAACGAGAAATGAAAACTTGTACTTAATGATATTGTTGTTGATGAAGCCAACGCAGTTAAAAATTCGTTAAATATGAATAAATCACCGTGGACGTTAGGAATCGTTATAACAATTCACTCATCACAGGGATTAGCTATCTCGGATAGAATAGTTTGGGTTTATTGATGATCGGATCAAATTGTAATATGTATTTTATCTCGCAGCATCTAGTGTCAGAAAAAATGTATCAGTTGCACATGGTTGTCATAGATAACGATGATAATATTGACGATGTTAGCGAAGAAGTTGTCAAGAGAATATAATAAACAATGTGACAAAACAACAAAATAAATGAGACTTTGATCATGACGCTGAATTTATAATCATGCTAAAACTGCAACAGAATAATCGTTGAGCGAGCTGTAACAATAATTTTGTGGCAGTATTCGAATACGAATTCGAGACAGTTTACCGTGAATAGAATTAGCAGTAGTCTCTGTCACATACGCTAGAATGTGATGCTGACCTGTCTTGAACGTAATCGACGAAGAGGTTCCAATTTTCAAACATGAAAGTGGTGGCAACTGTGTGTCTTCAGGAATTACTAGCAGTTGTTCACGTACAAATCTACGTTATGGAGCAATTGAATCTAGTCTGTAGATTGCAGGACTACCCATAGACGTGTCAATACTGGAAATGTATTGTTACCACACTCCAATAGAATCAGTTAATCATTTTGTACCACCGTCAAATTCACCGGTTCATGCTCATATCTAACTGTCACATTACATGTACTGGTAGAGAGGAAGATTCATATTGTTGTATTGTTATATGTTTCTTTGTAATCGCGCTGATGGGTTTTGTAGAAGTTGCAAAAGTAATTTCATTATTTAACGCAACTATAACAGTTATTAATCTTGCGACCCATTCACGAAATCACACGGCTTTCTGAATTTCATTCAGAGATACTTCCTGTGCATAATGATACCCAAAAAAACTGCCCAGCAAGTGTTCAATTAAATTGTTCAACGAGTGCCTGATCCCGATGAATTGCAGTGTGCTCTTGCCTGTTTTTAACGTTTCATCATGAACTTTAGTACTGCTCCAATATGTTATTTTCCAGAATCAACATATTTTAGTTGTGGCCATCGCAAGGGTCCTCGTTTATTATTTCGTTCAAATACAGACGCAACTTTAGTTACTGTCTTTTTGTCAGTGGTTCTTCTTTATATATGCTTGCAACATCAACGACAGTTAACGCGTATTTGTATGTGCG